TAAAAATATAATTTAGAAAGATAAGTTTATGACATTTGTACATACTACTAGTAGTACTACGAAAGTTAGGGTACTCATAATAATTAGTGATTTCTTCTTTCTCCTTCTTACTACATTTACTGTGTAGTCTAAGACCCACACTCCTTTTTTTAGATAAATTAAAACAAGACTAATAGTAACATAAATTAATTTATTTTGATATTTTGCAAAAAACATTGTTTTTTTTCTTCCTTGCCTCTTTTTTCCCTTAATCAATTCCTAATGTCCTCACTCCAATCTGGAACCTTTCCTCTTACTAGCATCTCACCCCCCATCATATGTTGGAGGTACTTCTATTGAGCACTGGGGCTACACCTCATACACTTATCTCCTAAAAAAGAATTATTTCGTTTCACATCCTCCACGTGCAAAATTTTTAAAGGCTTAGCAACCTAATTGAAATGTGACTGTATTTTACAAAATACTAGTTCACTAAAACACAACCAAGACAGGTCACTTTGTAAAGACTACAGATCAGTTTTATATTATTGGATACAGTAACATGAGTGCACATGCACCACATCATTGTAATTTCTGTATTGTTAATGAGGCATGGCTGAAAGGTCAATATAGTAAAAATAATAAATATATATAAATGTATAATGTTATGAGATTTAAGCTATTTAGACTAAACATTTGTGTGTTTTCATGTTATATTTTGTTGTCATTCTAGAATGAAAAATGCATTATTTTAATTTATTTCCTAATTTTTTACGGTGGTTACAAGTTCAGTCAAATTGACAGACCCTGTATAGTTAGGATAGAGAAAATAACAGACAAAACATAAAGTTTTACTGAAAACAAACATTTAAAATGTATTTATGAGGTTGTAGAGATTACACAAATAATATTTGAGATTTTTGGGGAGAAGAATAGTTTTTAATTATGACATGAAAATAACTTCGTGCTTGGACTAGTAACGAAACAGACTCGATATTTTCCCAAACAATTCTTTAGTAAAGATACCTCATTAAAAAATCTGATTTTTTGTGTACAAAAGACTTAGAATCATTACTGAAAGTCTACAAAATTTTCTGAAGATACACATACAGCATTAAAAGTTATAATATAAAAACTTAATGTGTGCAAGTGTGTTTACAAACTCGTGAGTTTATTACCAAGCCCATTGCGAAAGGGTTATCTTGGTATTTTTTATTGTACTGAAGTGCATTAGTAAAGTGTATTCTAGTCAGAGTTTTCTTTATGCCTGAGCTGATGCATTTTCTGTATAAATTTGGACCTCACACTGCAATTTGTTAAAATTATCAAAGATATGCTTTGTAGCTTACAGAAAAGTCAACACATCAGTCGTGAAATGTTACAGTTCCTTTCACCTAGACATTCAGTTCCAGGTTGCTTTTACATGTTACCAGAAATACACAAACCTAACAATCCTGGCCGACCTATTATTTCTAATTAACAGCAATGGAATACTTCCTCCAAACACTATTCTCTGTACTATGGATGTTTCTTCTCTCTACACAAACATTTCCCATGATGAAGGCCTAAAAGCCCTGGAATCTTCTCTGCTAAAACTGGATAAACCCAACACTCAAATTATTACAGACTTAGTTGAACTAGTACTTGCACCTTGAATTTAATAATGAGTTCTATATTCAAACAAAAAACACAGCTATGGACACCAAGATGGCACCAAACTACACAACATTTTTATGGGAGACTTAGAGACAAGACTATTGGAAAGTTGTACAGACAAACCAACATTTTAGAGATGCTACATTGATGACATTTTTTTTCATTTGGTTAGGAGACGAAGATTTATTAATGTCCTTTTATGGATGTACTAATACCTTCCATGGTTCTATTAAATTTACTGTAGACTACTCTACTACCCAAATAAGTTTCTTAGATGTAAACCTAACATTATAAGATGGTGTTCTACATACTGATTTGTACCAAAAACCAATGGATAAACCACAATACTTAGGTAATCAAAGCTGTCACCCTGACAGTAAGAACTATGATCGTCACAATAATTCTTTGAAAGAGACTGTGACTGAAAGAGGTCATAAACAAGATACTATCACCCAACAACTTGACAAAGCTAACTATATACCACATGAATCTGCCTTGAAACAATTACCTAAAAAAAAAATGCTTCTAGTGTTCCGCTGGTTATTGCCTATCACATAAAACTAAAAAACCTACTCTAAATACTAAAAAAGAAACACTTTAACCTTCTTCAACTTAATGATTGATTAAAATCCATTTTTACAGAAGTTCCTGACATTTCATTCAGAAAAAATAAAACTTTGCAGTCACACCTAGTTCATGCTTAAGTCAATACATGTGGAAGTCATCCTTGCATTAGCAAGTGATACCAAACTTGTAAGTTCATGCAGGAAATGGAAAACTTTTCTGATAAAGATGACCAAAAGCAGTTCAAAATCACTAAAAAAAATTTAATTTACTTAATCAAATGCCAAAAAATACAATTTCCAATATGTAGGTCAAACCAAAACAACCATACAGGAATGTTTTAATAACCATAAATTAACAATCTAAACAAACAAAGAACTTAGGTCACAAAACACTTTAACATGCCTGGACATTCTTGAAGACATTAAACTGATGGGTATAGAGACAAATTTTACATCTAACAGAAACAGTGAAGTTAAAGAAGCTTTCTGGACAGCACAATTTAATACTGTAATGCCAAATGGTATCACTCTCGATCCCAGGGTTGTTGACCTTCGTATGTCTCTGAAAAGAATTTCAATACTAAATTCTTAATTAAACTTACTTTACACTATTAGTATTATTTGTGCTTTAATTTTTCTATATTAGTATTATT